ACTCCAACCAGTTCTCATACTGACCGCTGAACTTAGGGATTTGGGTGGTGGGCAATTTGACGCCTCGAGTGCTCGTGCGGTTGGCCTTTCCTCGTGCGGTTGGCCTTTCCTCGTGTATGCTCCTCGCCTGAAACGTATGAACCACTGCATGAGCCGTTATCTGAATTATTGGCAGGTTTATTTACGTTTAATATTTCTTGTGCGGACGCGACTGTCGCGTAATACAAGTTCTCGAAATCGGTTCGCTGAGTTGAGTGAATGACTAAGTCTTTTTCATCTACTATACTGCATTCAATGTTGGACTGAATATCCTTAAATTGAGCCAAAAGTGCATCAGTTTTGTGCGAATTTGAAGCTCAGTCGCTTGCACTGACGGTAACGAATCTAATTGTCTACATAAGTGACGAAGTTCGTTAAACGGCCCTTGATTACGCCGCGTTTCTTAACAAGATCTTTTATTTCCACCGATGAAACTCCTCTTTTTGAAGTCGGTTAAAATTCGTATTAAAATTATTGCTGTAAAATTGTAAATATGTAGATAGAATTGATTGCTTTGTATAGCTGAATAATAATAAATAGCTAAATCACAAGCTTGTATAAGTTGTGAATAACAATAAAACTACAATCTATTGATTTATTTGTAAGTCACTGCTAAAATCACAAATTTTCAAGTCATAAACGTATAAAATATTTAAAATCAAGAATGAGTAGGTAGATAGAACTCGGTTAACAACCGTTGCGTTGCTACCGGGCCGGCAGCTCGATCGCGAGAACAGAGGCACTGGAATGTGCACGAAACTACCTCCTCAATGCGAATTATGTTTTTACGTTATTTTATTACTTTATACTAGTTAATTGCAAATCAAGTTGAATACCAATAATGATTCGAAATTATTTAGACGAATAATTTACACTAATGAACTTCCTAAATGAATTAATTGACTAGTTGGGCGTAAAATGGTTGGAAATATAATTTTATTCTGTGTATTTTATATTTACGAGAGGTGATTCTAAACGTGAAATATTGGAACAGACTCACTTTTAATTGCTCGATCCAGTTTTATGTTACAATGCAATCCGATTATGGGCTTCTTTATCTATTATTGCACATCACTCGATTCATAGATAAATGAACTTGCATATAATTAATTCCTGTTTTGGATTCTGGTATAAATTGTCTCATATAATGCCTTATATATAATCCTTGTATGTGTATAATTCTTGTATATATTTCTTGTATATTAATTCTTGTATAATAATTATTGTACATGTATAATTCTTGAATATTTTTCTTGTAGATTAGTTCTTGTATAATTCTTGGGATAATAAGGCTGATTCTTCACTTCTTCGGTTCTTTCCTGAAAGACGCGATCTGTATTCCCGTTAGGGGCTAGTTTCCTTGTATATTTAACTCGAAGGACCATGAATACTTTGGCGTTATGAACTTGGGTGATGGATGAAAATGAAGAACGTAATACGATATTTGACTAAAATTTAATTATTTAACATATTACAATAAAATATCGGCGATCGTTGAAGTGAATTTCAAATTTTTAATAAAAACTGTGGTGGGGCGCTCATTGGACGCCCGTCCTCCGCGGCGGCGATGCCTTACTCTTCGGTGGCCTGGTGACGTTGATGCTGGGTTCTCGACACCCATAGTAGATACTTGTATCGAAATATTTTTTCCTTCCGTGTAGATGTATGAGTGCGTGCGTGCGTGTGCATGCGCGTGTGTGTGTTAATACCTACAGAGTAGCAAGTTTTTCAACACCATTATAATATACACTTTGAAGCCACTGAGAGACTTTGAATCTACATTCATAGCTTAGCTTCGCTCGCGGTGAGGCCTGCGCTTTAGCTTACATAACCGCGGTAAGTTTTCATACATCTATTCACGCCGTGAACTGAGCTAACCGAGCTAAGGCCGCATAGTTAGTTGCATACAGCTACGTGAGCTAAGCTAACTAAGCTTAGCTTTGCTCGCGGTGTGGATTGCGCTTTACAAAATGGACATAAAAATTATGCTATGATTACAAGTCGCTTCTATTGCTATTCGCGGCAATGTAAATTGAGGCTTTGTCCATAGAAAGAGTATGGTCAGTATAGAAGCGCTCTAACAAACTTTATTGCGGAAAGATGTGAATATCATCCTTGTACGTTACTTGGAAAGCGACAAAGAAGAAGTTAGTTTTACAAAGCGTGAATAAACAAACGAGTCCGTTATTGTACATATCTATATAACATTTCTGTGCAAAATGAAAACTTCCAACTTAGCTAGGGGAGTTACAGGTAAATAAATTTTGTTTCTATTGTAAAATTATGAAAAAGTTCGTCCAGGGAAATACTGCCATCTTATTCCATCCATCTTATCCATTTCTGCCGCCAAGCAGTAATGTGAGCATTACTGTGTTCCGGTTTTGAATGGCAAGGGTGCTGGTGAAATTACAGGCACATGGGACTTGTTAATTGATGTCTCAGGGTGACAGGCGTAGTGGCAGTGCCTCACAGATCTTTGCGATTTAAAGCTCGAGGGTCACTGCCACTGTTATGGACAGGCGTGTAGCTTACCACCAGGCACATTACGTCTCACACGGTAATTTAAAACAAAAACCATCGGGCCAGCCTATCAGACTAACTCCAACCGGAGAGAGCTTAGAGAAGATACGTGCCTAAATGTGGAAACTTATTATTATGGATTGATGATAATGATATAATTTAATGGAACGTTATAATATAAAGGTACCGAACGTGTAGCGAAATTTTAAAGTGCATTCCTAAAATTAAAAGATGTTTTCATTGAGATTATTTCATTGAGTATTACATAAAACATTTGAACTCACATGTTATTTCGAGTGCTAGCTCAATAATTTGTTACTTAATTTTATTTTGTGTCGTTTCTCATAAAAAAATATTTTCATGAGATCGATAAGCTAAATCAATTTTTCGACAAAACATTTTCGATTATAAAAATGCTGCGATCTCTGCTGTGATTTACTTTGTGAACGACATGTTTATTTAAACTTCAGCTTCTAAACTACAGTGAACATTGGATTATTAGTCTTGTGAAAAATGTGCAACGGGAAATTATTAGGCCAGTTGTTCGTCCTGTTTTTGAGCGCACAAACTACTTATACAAAGATAAATGATAAGAAATTGCTTCGCGTCTTTGGAGGACAAAGTAGTTCTTACAGTGAATACCCATACGTAGCAAAACTGGAGATTCTAGCCATTGTTGGAATTATACTATTCGAATACCCCAATGTACGTGTTCTATATTGACACCAACCTGGACTTTAACAGCATCTCACTGCTTTGAAAATTTGGACGGTTTCCCATTTGGTCTTAGCTACATGATATGGTACGACGAGATAAAGAAAGAAAAATCTAGTAAAGTGCATAAGTTTATACTTCATCCATCTTTCAAATTATTGGGTGATAAAGAGAATGTTTATAGAACAGAAAATGATATAGCACTGTTGAAGACAGACCCAGTAACATTGCCTAAATATGACAGGGTCAGTTCTGTAGATTATATGAGCCTTGTGGGCTTTACAGCAGTTGCGCGCTTGGCGGCCGTCGTCGTCCGCGCACTTTGGCGGTCGGTTTAGGCGCAATGTGGTGCAGGCGCACGCGGGATGAGTTCTCTATTAACCGCGAGACTTGCGATTAACTCCCACTAACTACCAAGTATTTCTGAGAGACATAGGAAAATAGATATAATAGATAAAACTTATAGCAAAACCAAAGAAATATGTCTACATCAAAAACTCAGTAATTACTCCCTATGCGACACGTTATTTGTTATAACTCAATCAAATAATTCCACAGCTTTATACCCAAGAAAATGTGTTAAAAGAATTAACCGGTAAAATTCATAATGTTAAAGAATTAAGGAAACCGTACCACATTTGCTAACACAAACTAAGTATCCATTGAGTCATTCGATTGGTGAAGTATCAGAATTATTATCATTAACTAGCTTAGCATCATATTATATGAACGATAAACTTATATTTTCGATCATAGTCATTAAATCAGATTCATTTTGCGTGCAATAACCGGGAACGTAATTAAAGTTTTTAGACAAAATATGGAAATCCACAGTGCAGCTTAGATGTCAATTATGTGTCCCTATTCGGCTTATGTCATTATTTCTGTATTCATATTAAGGTGTATCTGTGTGTAAAATATACAGCCTGTCAGCCATAATATCGCATCATTTCTTCAAATTGGATTTATAATTGTAATAATTTTATGTTTCTGAAAGTCGATTAGTTTACTGCGTGAATTAGACTATCTTGTACGTCGATACCCTAAGATACTAGACTTCCTAGCCGACCTTTTGGTTCTGAGAGCATTCTTACGCATTCAATAGAAAAATGTATAACAATTCGAATGGAATTTTGTATTTACGTAATGTAATTAAAGGTCAAATGAGCTTAAAAACTTTCTTAAAACATCATTCACTAATGATGCAATGAGGAAGTCATATCAAAAGTAACTTTACAGTCTGTGAGGTTAAAAGTTAAGTTCGTTTAAAACCTTTCTTCACACTGATCTACTTAGAACCATACAGACGGGGATCAGGTATCTTACGACTTGCACCTTTCCTCATCATAAAGCTTTCTACACACCGAGCCCGCCAACCTGGCAACACAGCCCGGGTTGGTATCGGCGGCCTTGTTTCTAGAATCGTGTCATAGGATTAGATTAGAAATAAGGCCGCCGACACCAACCCTGTGTCGCCGGGTCGGCGGGCTCGGTGTGTAAATAGCTTAAGAATGAATAAAAAGGTACATTATAAACCAATACTGCCAACGTAATCCATTGTGTATTAAATTAAAAGAACAGATAAAGCTATTACTAGAAATCATTAGCACTCTGTTATTACCAATATGTTTGACACAAACCTCTTAAAAAAATATGGGTTTATAATGATCGCTTCGCTTGTTAGGCTGAGTAAAGCACACAATACACAGGGAAACGCCACTGCTGTTAAGATTTAATATTCACCTCCTTAGACGTCTTCTATGGGAAATTCATACAATCGTCCGTGCATCGAAAAGTTTGAGGTATTCAAAATAGTAAACAACAATCAAAATACAATCAATTTAATTTACTCGAATTCTGCCGCGCACAAATAAATACATAATTTTACCGCCCTGCTTACCATTGGTTTGGGGCATTGTCTTTGTTGACAGACACTGGTGTAGGCATATTTGCAGGATGCTTTACATTGGTTACTTTTAAGCTTTGCAGTATAAGTATCCCAACAAGTATAACCCCTTAACACAGCCTCTGCATCACCTTTTCCCCGGTTAAGGTAATTAGGATATGAATTGTAAAAAGTGTAGTCTTCGAATGCTCGAAAAGAACTACTGCTAGGCGAAACTGTAGCAGTAGGGCCTATTGGTTCATAAATTGCGACCTCAGAAATATTGTAAGGTGATATGTAACCGGTTTTTACCTCTTCAGCGGCTGGTTGCTGTAATGAAATATAGTGATATAATAATGATACCACGCAATACGGGCAAGACGGGGCATATTCGCACGAACTGTATAGTAGGCATCATCGGCACTGTCATCCGCATAGCAATGAATGTTACTAGTTACTAACATATCATTGAGATGCAAGATGAACAGGGTTGGTGATAGCACAGATCCTTGCGGAAAACCGGAGTTAATGAGCATGGTGTCCGAGCATAATCCGTCCACAAAACTTTAATGCTCCTGTCAGACAAGAAGCTTTCGATCCAAGTGCATAGCCCTTCATGAAGTTCGTAAGATGGTATCTTCGATAGAGGTACCTTGTGCCAGCTCCGATGAAAAGCTTTAGCGATATCTAAGCCCACGGCCATTGCTTCGCCCTTGCTCTCAACGGCAGCTGCCCATTGGTGCGTGAGATACACAAGAAGATCACCAGTACCACTACCACGGCGAAAGCCGTACTGGCGGTCGTTAATGAATAAGGTTAATCTAAGAGCTGGTCGTTTACCACGCGCTCCATCACCTCGGAGAGCAAAGAGGTTATCGCTATAGGCCGATAGTTGGACGGGTCTGTGTTGACATTATCTTTATGGTATGGTGTGAACACTGGCTATATTTACCTAAGTGGTACGAAAACGAGAACAGACGCTCTAAGACCGGAGCTAACTTGATAGCGCACTTCCTGAGCACAATAGCAGGTACGCCATGCCAAATTTGTGTTTCTGTTACATATTCTACAATAAACCCTGTAAATTCACTGCAATTTAACCTATTCACTGAATAGATCATCTTATTTCATAATTGGACTTTTCAACTTACATTGTGCTATTGTAATTTTTTTTGCTACACTTATTTGTACGACAACCAATTGCCGCAGAATTTTATTACACTTTGCATAAATACTTTGTTCTGATTGAATGACAACTCACGTCGAGTGGTAAGTTTTACAAAAACTTACTATAAATAATATGTTTGGATTAAAAAAAAAAATTATGATGTTATGTTAATTAATCCATATAAATCGTGCCACTCACCGTATCGGGTTCATCATTTATGCGTACCACTTTCAAATAATTGCGGATATCTACATTTGGATCATATTGATAAAGATGTCCTTTTGTGATATCCAGCTGGAAATATACATTTATTACCTATCATGCTTGTATAGTCGGTCATCTCATATATGTAGCAGTCGCCAGACGTGCTAATGTCAAATCCTTTTTCAACATTCAAACACGTCTTGGGGCAAGTAAAGAAAATACGGAACAGTGTAGAGATACGCGTAGCAAATCGATATGTTTATATCGATTTGCTACGCGATGTTCCCCAACCACTATCTATACAGCTGGTAATTTACCAAACAGTGACTCATTCAATTCTGCCTTAAACCATCTGCACCATCATAGCACCATACCACACCCCGGACACTCCATACGAAGGTAGAAAGTTAGTTACCTGCTACTACCACATATAGGAGGCGCTATCTGCACACGCGCAAATGTGTGCGTGAAGTGGTAGGTTACTCATCACTATCTCGTACTATCGTTACGTGGTCTGAGCGCCAACATAGCCAAAACTGTTATCTATAGTTCTATTAATATAATCGTAATAATTACACATGTTCATTAGGTATGTATATCGACATAATATTATATTTTTCTTTATTTCATCTAGAATAATATTGAAGATTTAATTAAAAAACATATTAAAAACATTTAAAATGTTATATTTTGGATAGATACTTTTAAAAAAGGTAACCAAGTTATTTGAAATTGCGTGTCTAAGTTTATCATTACCTAGTTAATAATTAGGTATATTCACTACGTAAAATTTTTAGGCAATACAAATTGAAAATTCGAGAAGCCTTGTCTACTAGCTCACGAAGATATGGCGTCTCATTATATTGATAGAATAAATCTGTATTATGTATTACTCTACACTAAATAAATGAAGAAAACAATAACTGAATGTCTGACATGACTGAAATAACTGAATCTCAGACAAGTTTTTTTGCTTGGTTTTTTTTTTCACCTTTCTGAAAACGAAAGAAACTCCTCTCTTTATCCCTTTTAGTTGATGATGAATAGCCGTACACAGCACAATTAACAACCATTATAAATAGTAACGTAAAATGACATGAAAACTATATTCAAATAACCAACCGTTAAAATAATAACCGTTTAGCGCGAAAGCGGCTCGCCGACAGCCTTATTGCCGTTCAGTCAATGTGACCGTCAATGTGCAGGGTGTGGTGCGGTATCTAAAGCTAGGGAGGGGCGGAGAGTGTTCGATCTCGTTACTTTTTTGTTCTCTGACCATACTTTCACTGCACCATCGAAAGGAGCCTCCCCGCACGACCTACCATTCCTTTCTTGTCTGGGGCACCATGGGCAACAATCGGTAAGTGCTTTACACCGATTGCTAAATCTTTTCACCGCAATGATAACCATTATAATGTATGCCATCGATACGACAAGAAGAAGAACCTGCATCATGGTGCAATATGCTTCGCGTAAGCTTCTGCTTGTTACGTGCCAAGGGATGAAATTTTCTTTTTATACTATGAAAATAAGTAGGCAGCAAACTTCGTTTTCGACATTGGCATTCTTCATTCTTCATTGTCTGCCTCTGTGGCCGAGCGGTTACCATGCCGAACTGCCACGCAGAGGTCCCAGGTTCGATTCGGTTCGGTCCCGGGCCGAGAGAAATATTTGTATGGCCTACATTTATTTCTCTCGTGAGTTTGGGTGTAATTTGTGGTTGTCTATGTGTGTGTCCATGGCACCCGCGACACAGGGTTTTCCTAGTGCGGGGCTATGTTGAGTGCGTGCGTTATTATTATTATTCTACAACTATACTTCGTTTCAATACCAATTTCAACAAAATGTAAACAAATAAGTCACTGTCACCCGACCATAGATGGTTTAGTGATGGTCAATTGTAATACATAACCTATATAAGCATATTTAAAATTTCCGAAATCCTAATTTTAAGTCCTCCTCCAAATCCTTACACTTAGATATTGAATAGATTTCAATTGCGATTGAAATATTCGATTTACTAACCGATTATAAAAAAATTTAATTGAATGAACCGAACAGCACTATACAACCATAAACAAGTTATAGACGTATAGATAAAAAATAACCTCACTTTTGGACTACCATTTTTCAAATCTAATTTTACGATGCTATTCAAATAAATATTGTTGGAAAAAGTGATTAGATATCAAGTCAAAATCTTCGAAATATACGTGAAAGTGTTACTTATTCGACTTATTGAGTGATTGCTTTAGAATATAAATTAGAAAAACTATTACCTATGTCAAAAGTGGAAATCACAAAACACAACACAAAGCAATCAAACTTACCGAATTGATACAAATAATGAAAACAAAAAAAGCATTTAAGAACATGCCAAGTAATACTAGTAAAAAGACAAACGAATTAATACGTGTGTTCCTTTTGAGTGCAGATAAGTTCAATTAACTAGAAACCTTGTCAAAATAAAGAAAATATTTGTTTGATAAGGCATTAATGTAATTAGTGTCAGCTCAAATAATGCCATGCTTACAATAATTAGTCCATGTATTTAATTACAACTAGGTACATGTAAATATTTTTCCATGGTCATGATTTTCAGAGTACTTATTACAAATTCTAATGAAGGAATGAATTGGTTTTGTACACAATACACACATTATGACATACTTAATGCTTTGTTTGCGTAGGATAAAATTATAATTTTTAAATTTTATATAACCGTTGCAGCAATAACAAAAGAAGTTAACTCCGTTTAAACAAAAGAAGTCAACTCCGTTTAAACAAAAGGAGTATCTCCCCCATACCTTGTATATCATCTTCTGCAGGTTTTCTTGATGTTTTCAGAATCATCTGCGACGTGTAGGTTACTTCAAATCTTCATATCATCAGCCTATCGCAGTGGTGCTGTACTGCCTTTTCCAATGTGTGCCCGTTTTCGCCCGGTCCTCACCTTCTCCACGTATTACCTTATTGTACGTAACGATTCGATTATACAAGTCAGGCAATACCCGTGCCCGCCGGAGTATATACAGTGCTTTTCTCAAACAATACGAGGAAATAACAAAAGACTAACGAATATAGGAGAATGTATAATAGAAAAAGTTTTAAATAATTCTATGACAAATTTTGCTTGTTGTTTTAAATTAGGCGGAGTACAGTCCGTTATTATATTTTCGCTCTTCCCTTTGCATAATATCCTTATTGTTGAGAAAGTAAAGGTAGAATTTAATGATAAAAATGTGATCTGAATAAAGTTTCACAAAAACAGCTTCACTTTTTGTAGTATAAAAGTAGTTCTATCGCAATAAATAATAGTTATTTGTTATCCAAGGCTGCCAATTTGTTGTTTGACGCGAGTGAAGTGTGAGTATTGAAACCTGAGAAAGCTAGTTTCAAGGCACGAGACGCAATACAACTTTGCTGCCGAGCGAAACGCACAACTTTTCACCTCCCTATAGCGAGGAAAATGGTAGATGAAAGAAAAACAGTTGAACTATAACAAATCACTTTTCATTCGTACAACAAAAAAATTAGTTATCGTTGTCGAGTTAATGCCAACAATAATAAGAATAAAATATACCGTCAGATTTATGTTACATAAATAATGTACAACAAATCGCATAGTTGAACTTGTCACTATGTTTTTTTTTATCGAAAGAAAAAGTTAGGTGCATCACAGTATGAACGTCAAGTCCGAATTTCAAAAACCTTTTCCACGCTAGCGTGGAAAAAAGCCATTTACGCGCAGATTTCTAATGAGAAAGAAAGCCTTTCCGAGCTAGTGAGGTCAAAAAATAATTTTATCGTGAAAAATTTTACAAAGGTCAACGATCATTTTCTAATGAAAACATACAATATCCATATTCCTTATTTACGCCTTTTCAGAGGTGCAAGAAAAATAAACACTGATACTTAAAACTTCTTTCTTTTATATCTACTGACGGGAGGAAGTCGTGCACTTGGTGGTAAGCAACATGCAGTTGTAGTGCCACTAAAAACTTTAAATAGCAAATATCTGAGGCGACTGCCACTACGCCCGTCACCCTGAGATCGACGCCTCCTACGTAAAGTAGCATATGTCGAAATTGCCAAGTTTACAGGGGAGCGTTTTAAAGTTTTGAATTCACTGACATGAGCTTAACACGTGACTTTAGCATTTGTCAGTTTTATTCAACAAAGCTCGTTAGTCACGTATAGTGATCATCTAACAGATCATCATAGATCATCTAATATATCTAGGATTTTATAATGCCCTATCTGAAAACGAGCTTTGCCGAATAAAACTAAGGAATGCTTGTCAAGTGTTATGATGATTTCAGTGAATTCAGAACATTCAAACGCTCCCCTGTAAACTTGACAGTTTTGACATAAGATACTTTACGTAGGAGAAGTCGAGATATGACTTGACAAGTCCCATGTGCCTGTAATTTTACCAGCACACAAAACCGGGACGCTGTAATGCTCACATTACTGCTCGGCGGTAGAAATAGGTAAGGTGGCAGTACTTCTTTGGAATAACTTTTTCGCGAGGAGCTCTGTTACTGCTACTTAAAAATAATGCATAATTTTTAAAGGCAAGAAATGTTTAGGACAATATCTGTTGCAAGTTGATGTAAACCATTATACCAAGTGACCAGAAAGTAATTAAAAATTAATTACTGCCTGTTGTAGTAGTCATGTATTTTTACTCCCAAGTGTAAATAAGTGTGTACTGTATATAATTTTACATACAACATTAATTGTTTGTTTCATTACATACAATTTCATTTGTGTAATTAACGGGTAACTCATATTGTAAAACGTTTTCGTGTCCATGTTTTATTGTTAATTTCACTTAATTAGTTTTTACCTCGGTTTTGTAACATAAGATACAATTAAATAAGTAAGTTATTACATAATGCTTAAGTCCACCAAATGAATGAAACAGGGCATACTGGTTATAAGTAGTATAATCATTTCAGTAATAAATAATTACGTACATTTTTCATTAATATGATGGAAATAATTGTCTACTTTAGAGCAAAACGTCACTTTGTTAATTGTCATTGACAAGTAATAAACAATAACAATAAATGAGCAAAATTGACATGCGCGGCAATCTGGGATCCTCATTAAGATAAATACCGTGTCATAACTGAAAGAACTCAACGAAAATTCGCTCGACATTTGTGCAAAAGAATTTGTAGTTACTATCTGCTGCTCTTTTCTTCCTTATTTGTGTATGAATGGATGAAGACATAGGAATGGTCGGGGTCTTGACATCTTGTCACCGTACTCCATTACGCATTTCTCCTGCGGGATATAAACTGGACAACCACGGAACACTGAGCAATGTCGATCTGTTCGTGCCTAACAGCGAGTATATAACAAGAAATAGAGACGTAATGTCATTTAATTTGTTTGAAAACTATTCTGTCAAATCATCACTGTGACAACTGCGCAATTGACGGATGTCGTCAACTGTTTTAATTTAAATCGACCAGTTTAACTTGAGCGTTGCTATAATGGACGATAATTGCAAAATTACATATTTAATATTTAATTGCCGATGAAATGTAATTCCGTTTGTTTTGTAATAGATGTTTTGGTAATGTTAGAGATATTATCTATATTACAATAAATACAGACAATGTACACACAGGTCAGTTGTTGGTGTTGTACTATTTCAGTGATATAAGGCCTATTTGCCTGATGAGTTGCCAGAGCTGGGTGGCTCTTATTTGGTCTCTATTTCTGGTTTGAATTTTTTTTTTTAATAATTCGTCCTTAATTAAGTAATTTAGGTGTAGTATCATTAGCGAATGCTTCATGTGAACTACACAGCTAGCTGTTAAATAAACATTAAATTATAAACATTTCAAATTCACTAAAAATGGCTTTGGAGTGTGAGTTTGAATTTTATGGATGAGTGTGTGAAAAGAAATTATTTATTAGTGTAGTATTTTAAAAATTCAAACAAAAAAATACTCAGCTTCAAACTATGTACATCAGTTGAGAGACATAATTGTTGAAAATTATGAATTTTAAATGCAGTAACGTAATTTCAACTTTAACGGTTCTTTTATCTTGAAATGACTACGACATAGAGCTGAGCTGCCATAGTAATTATTACTCGTGTTAATGCCTTGTGATTTTACAAGTTTGATTTGTGTCTTGTGAAAATTCATTGCTTTGAGACGAGTCCCCATATATTATATTATCTATGCCCTTAAATTAACTTTTGTTTGTATGAATACCTCGTGCAAGAGAAAAGGGCCTACGAACAAGCATTGACATTTAAATACATTTATTTCAGTTCTTGACACTTAAGATTTATATTCGACTGCATGCCTCTTGCGATAAACGGCGGCTCAGTGTCCAGCGTGAAGTGTACTCTTGACTGTACATTACCTTACATTTTCACCTCGCATCAACTCTGCAGTGTACGCGATAAAAAAAACACGAACATTTTCAGATGTCGAAACCGCTAGAGTCAGGCAAACGAAACTTGAAACTGAGAGCTTTGTAAAACTTTTAAGGTGGCAACACTAAAGTCTGTTGGCAAAACTGTCAGTACGCCATTAACGCTTAAATTCTCTTTGCCATTAACGAGTGCAATATTTTCGAGTATTTTTATTGTCTCTTTATCAATCATGAATAAAACGATTAAAAGTAACGTGCGAAAGTTACTTCGTACTATGATTACTAAGTATAAAGAAAAACAACTGGAGCGGGAATGTGTTTGCAAGCAGAAACAAACATAATAATATTTACATATGATTTTGGACTTTTTAGGTTAGTATGATAAGTTATTTTGATACTTTGTTGGTTTTGTAATTTGGATAACGGTGCACATAAAGATTTTACAGGTTTTAATACCCTTGTAATATTTTCTTTTAGTGCAAAACATGGAACATGTGCCAAGAGTTTCTAAAAATAGTACAAACTGTGGAAAAACTTTAGGAGCTAGGACCACACATGTTATTAAAGACCCAAAATGAATAAGGAAGAAATTGCATCAATTACTGGTATGCAAACTGATCACACCCTTTTAAAACTGTAGTTGGTTGACTTTGAGAATATTTCGCTCACTAAGTTTTTTAAATATATTTAATGTTTAATTAAATTTTTATTGAATTGATATTCAATTATTTTTTGTGAAATTACTCCACTAGTTTGTTATAATTATTAATACAAAGATCGAACACTCGGAAAAAACACTCAGAAAAAATTCCTTCGATCCGGTCGGATTCGAACCGACGTCTTCTTGCATACCGTGGCAGACGCTATACCAACTAAGCCACGGAACGAACCAACGGACCTCGCGAATTTTTCTATGTGCTTGCGTCGTGTCTTTGTACTTGGTCTTTCAACGACTTTTTAGTCATAGCGCCATCAAAGAGAAATCAGAAGTTAGTCTCAACACTGAAAAGGATTAAACACGAAGGGCCAGATAATGCAGGTGTATCGTACACTCCAGGGAAAAAGCGTCCACACAAGTCCACAGTTTCGAATCTGGATTGC